AATTATGTCCCACAATCATCCTGGTTTGAAAGTGAGTCTCTAACTTATTCATGATTTCATTCAATTGGTTGACATATTTGGCCCACTAACTTATTCATGATTTCATTCAACGCATTTAGTTGTTTGGTCATGTTGTTATAATGTGCGTTCCCATTTTGGGTAAATCTTTCCATATTGTGAACATTTCGTAGATTTACTTAATCAACGACATCCTGTGTGAGTTTCCCAAACAATGCGCTCATGGTTAGAGTACTCAACTCTGTCATTGGCTCATAATGACTTTAACTACTTTGACTCCATCTATCTGTTCGTGGAGAGCTTTAATGCTCCTCATATTACTTGATCACAGACTAGACTACTCCTTGGCTTGTTGGTTCTTTATCAGAATTCTTATGAGGCATAATGCTTCACTTTTAGTATTTTCAAACACCAATTCCCATTGGGCATGCCAAATTGTTTCCCGCGGATTATTACTAACAATTAAAAGAAATGTTCAGACGATTGTGTAAGGAACAAAACTTTTGCGACAAAGTCCCAAACAATGGTGCTTTATTTATGAAGATTATAATTGGAAAGAAGCAAATCGCCTCCAAGGGGCATAAGTATAAGAAGTAAATTGAAAGTTTGCAAATATAAAGTAAACGAATTGAAATTACATATTCTCGATTGAGAGTGTTTGATCCGGGGTCCTTTCTTCTATGACTTCTTTTCCTTTTTATACTCCTTTGCTGATTTCNTTGCTGATTTCTTCTTGTAAAACTACTTGGAAACTGGTTGGTACTCTATAACTACCTACTTTCTTCATGATGGCTGACTTGTCATGGAACTGTCGTTAGCAACGTTGTAAGTGCTCTCGTTGTTTGACCGTTTGTAACCGAGATTCTTGGATCGTGGGGTGTAATAAAGTTGCTCAATAACTGCTTCAATTAATGAACAAAAAGCTATATTCATCCAGACATTGGGCGTCTCGAAGGCTTGGGAGAGAGTGAGACTGTCCTTCTGAGCGACAATAGAAGACTTTATTCTCTCAGGTCCTGAGCGTTCTGCAGGCTTGGGTGATGATAGTCCTCTGCTCATGGGCTGTCATTAGATTTTACAATGGTCTTATTTGGGCTAATTCCTCAATTTTCCTAATTGGGTTCCATTTCTTGGACTACATAATTGGGCTTGACTTAATAATTGAGCCTCATTTAATCATTTGACCTCTTTTAGTTTGGCTTCATTTTTGTATGTCAACAGCCTTATTATTAATTTTACATATAAAGAACAATTTTCAACCACCACAAGATATTACCGTCCCAGAGGAGATGTTCATTGGTTCTTGAAAAATATTATTTCAAATATATATACATGATTTGTAATATTATTCAAATTAGACAAACATACACTTAAAAAGTGCAGTTTTTTATGGAAAAAAGATGCATATATTTTCCATGCCCATGTATGGTAGGATTTAAAATCAGATTTTTTAGTAGATTTTGATAAAAGTGAATAAAATATTTTGTTGAAAAGTTGTGGGATCCTTGAAACGCGTGGTAAAATTTATAGTTGATTTAAATTAAAATTTTGATTTTAATTTCCCCCAATGAGGGGCATTATAATAAAATATATTCGATAAGTGATGGTTAATGTGTAAATTTATGGTTAAACCTAAATTCTGGTTAAACCTAAATTCAAAAAAT